CGTGTAGCTTTGCGCGAAATTCAAAACAAACAAACAAACAATCTAGGCACCCCGGGCACCTATATTAAAGTTTTTCTTCGTTACCCATTCAAGCCGTCTCCAGCCATTATTAGTCTCAAAGTGGGTTCCTCGTCATCGAATTATAACCTTTATGTCGTAATGGGAACAAGTAAGCCATGCTCAGTTTTACGTTATAGATCACGTGGCAAAAAAAAAAAAAAAACATGCTAAAAAAATAACTGTTGTCTTATCCAACAGAGACAAGCGCACGTAACATGTATATTACGTTTAATAGAGCACAGAGCGTCGATAGCATGCGATATGAAGAAGAATTAATAGAAGGGTGGAATTATTGGACTTGCCTTCAATTATTTGTTTCCTGGACAGCCCTCTCTCAATGTCTGATCTAGCAACATCAAAATAAATAAAAAAGTATCACTGAAAACCACTCCACGACAGATATTTTCACAAAAACAACAACAACAACAACAACATTCAAAAATTAGGAAACAGAATTGTTGCTTACTTTCCAGTCCAAATTAGTTTTGTTGCGATGATGTAAGTGGACCGCCTATAGGAAAAATATTTATAATATCTGAAACATCTTTCCGAAAACAATGAGAAAATCTAAAGAAAAAGTGGAGTATTTATGTAGAAATAAAAACATTTTGAAGAACAAAATTACATTAAAAATTGTCATACACGTGTAAGTCCTATAAATGGAACTACATACGATTTCAAACGATTTTTCAACTTTAAAATTTGATTTAAACTTTGACAAAAAGTGAAAGTTGTTAAATGAGTGTACCAACTCTTAAAATTTGCTATGTTTTTAGAATTTATTAGCAAACGTGTTTAATTTGATAAATATATAACTTGAATTTATTTCTTTTGTTATTTACGAAAATAATTTCACCAAAAATAATTATTTTTCCATCTAATTTTAACTTGAGACGATAGTTATGAATGCTTTGATCATTTTATTCTTTAGTAGCTACTGCACAAAGATATATATAATAAAAAATTCTAGCTTCTATAATTACAATACTCGTAAAGAAGATGTTCACATCTTAGCTAATTTCTCTCGTAAAGTTTTAGCAAGTAACATATCATACAAAGTAAACTATTCTTATTCTTAGGAAAACTTAAAAATACAAGAAAATATTGCAGCCTACCTCCAACCTTTTTTCTTTAGAATTTTCCCAAGCATAATTTCTGCCCTAAATAACAAAACAAGCACACTTTTAAACAAAAATTTGCAAAATAAGAAAACCTAGAATAAATTGCAACAAAAGAATACGACGTAGATGTATTGACTGTCCTTGTTTCAGGAGCATAAATATATATATATATGGTTTGATGGATATGAAAACAAACACAGCTGAAGTTTCATTTTCTTCTAACAGCTCCACACCATAAAAAAACTTAGAGATGTGTATTTATCTTAAGAAAGGGGTTTCAGGTAAAAAAAAATCATCCACCAATTTTTTGTTACAGCATAAAATATAACATTATAGAACAGGTTAGAAATCAGTAAGAAAACAATTTATACAAAATTACATGTTTAGATAATACAATATTTTAAAAACTGAGAAAAAATATGAAATTTAAAATGTAGTTTTTCTTTTTAATTTCAACAAAAAATTGAAACTTTTGATGTATATTGTATATGATGAAAATTATGTTCTTTAATTCAAGCAGACTTAAAGACGATATGACAGTTTCAAACAATAGCTTAACATAGCCTAAATAATAATAATTTCAAATATAATGCTTAATGATACAGTTGTAGTTTCTTAGTGCAATGCTACACAATAGACTATCGGATCTCTTTCCACTAGAAGGAATCAAACCTTGGATTGTTTGGTTGAAAGTCCGTAGACTTACCGCTGACCCACTGGTGGATAATAATAACAACACGCCCATAAAAAAAATCGTAAAATAAATTTGTTTGGTTGTTTGTTGTTAAGCGCAATGATACACAATGGGTCTCTGTTCTGTGCTCACCAGAGATATCAAAACCCTATTTTTAGTTATAAGCCTTCAAACTCACCGCTCGTAAAATATGATAGTATAAAGAAAAACATGCCATTCATATTATAAATTCAAATACCGCTATTAATTTGCACTTTTATACTTCTATTTTTCAACTCATAAATTGATAATTACGCATATTAAATAGAAATTTAATTCTTGATCTTTGATATATCCAGTTTAAATTTTCAAAAGAAAAGCATTATTGCGCTTGTTACACAAAACATTATAAGAAATATTTACTTTCCAACAGGACTGCGCTTTCTAATTGGTCTACCGAATTTTTTTGGCAGTTAGATAGCTAAACTATATTTGAAGTGAACCTTTAAAAACGTAATTAATCAAATTATTAATAAATGTTTAAAATTTAAATGTTAAACAGCTTTTAAAATATTTTTTTCAATGAAAAGTTATATGCAAAATTCCACACATTTATTAAGCTAGTAACTGAAATAACATGAAATATTGTTTAAAAGGCGCCAAAACTTACTTTCCACCACCATACAGATCAGCTGTATCAAAAACATTGATTCCACTTTCGTAAGCCGCTGTCAAAATCTCCTCTGCAGTCTTGAAAAATAATATACAATTATTTCATAAATAAATAGTATCAATAACGAACTGCCAAGAGATAATTGTGATAATTTTGTTTGTTAATGATAACAAAAGATTGAAATGCATAACTAGTAGAACATTGCGGTACACATCAACAACAGTGATCCAAATTGTCTGAAAAAAAACAACAACAAATTTAACACATGGGTATATACATATTTAAGAAACAAGAGACGTATTCTCTTTGAACAACATGCTCACAGAATCGTTGCTTAACTTACTTATTCAAAAAATTAGAACATGCTTGGAACATTTATGTTTTAAATTGAAATATTTTGAGAGAAAGTAAAATGTATTGTTACGACAGCGGAAGTCACGCGACGCTGGGATCGTGACTTATCGGGCAACCTCACGAATGTCCCAGCGTTTGCTAGACGCCCTCTTTTTTAGTATATAAGCCGGAGATATACTGAAGAGAAATAATTGATAATTGAGTCAAGCGAACAGTAGGCACCGTAAGTAAAGTGTGTGAATCGCTGTGAATTATAGCGTGTGTTTATATAAGTAGTTAAGTTAAAGTGACAGTGGAAATTCTGTGTAT